CTTTAAAATGGGCATGGCTCTGCCCTCTAATAGGTTTAATGTGCATAACTCACAAATTACTAAAGCTATTTAAACTAAACTTGCTGAAAATAAATCTTTCTACCTTTTTTATAAACGTTGGGAAAATTGATGAAATTAAATGAAAACCACGACCACTCTCAACTTAACGGTTAAGTTGAAAACTACAATACTAAAACTACGATAACTCACTAAATAAGTACGTTAAAATCATTAAATTTTACATTCTACATGACACGGAAAAGCTTCATAGAAGCCGTTGTCAAAATTGGACAATGGGTGTGACACCGTCCACATTTAGATAAAATCCTATATCTCAGGAACTACTTGACCAATTTCAACCCAAATTTGTGCCTTACATTATTTTGACTATTTTATGTTATGTTGTGAAAAGCTGCGAAATCGAAATACAAGCACGTTTTATTTCCATTTTATCACAATTTTAAATTCCACCTGATTCTCTCACTTTCTCAGTACCTATGGCTAACTTTTTAGAGAAATTAAGAGATCGTTTCGCTCTAATAACAGTATGTCCTTGACCCTAAAATGAATAAATTCGGGACAATAATAACCCTAGCCCCCCTATACATAATATACGAAATTAAAACTACCTATGACGAAATTAACTACTACCTACCTACTATTTATGGCTTATTTATCGGTCAAAAGTTTGATGTCGTAGAAAATTAAGTAAACTTATAATATTGGATATACTACAATCTAATCCCGGAAATATGTGAGTGCTATTTTAATGAATGGTTTATTTTACAATCAATATTTCCGACGCGAAGCAAAATGTGGTACTGAAACTATGTGAGTTTACGACCTACAATTGTATGTACAGAAGTTTATAAGATACCAAATTTCATTGTAATTGGTTTGGTTTCTTCAAATGATGAATGTTGAATTCGTACTCAATATTTTAAACTCTTGCAACATGTAGCTACTGAGTACAATAGTTTTGTTCACCTGACGGTTGTTTGTATCATCTAAAAATAATCGTGTTATATACATACTTATATGGTTATGATTATGGTCCGTCCGTTTGGCCGTCCGTGCAGGCGATAACTTGAGTAAAAATTGATATATCTTAATGAAACTTGGTGCACGTGTTCTTTGAGCAAAGAAAGTGAGGATGAGTTCATAGACGGGCGTAATCGGACCACTGCACACGCTCACAAAACGCCGTTAATCGAAAATCTATAAATTGCTATCACTAAGCCGCAAATTATGATACAAAACCGTAATTTGGACAACTAATCGCAATAATGCGGGGCACTAAACTAAAACTGCGATAAATCTCCGAGATGACACAAAAGGGCTTTATATAAGGAGGTGCCAAAATTGGACAATGGGTGTGGCACCGCTCACATTTAGGTGAAATCACATATCTCCGGAACTATTAGACCAATTTCAACGAAATTTTGTACATGGGATTATTTTAACATTCCCATGTTACAGTGCGAAAATGGACAGTAACCACGCCTACTCCCCATATAACAACTAAATATTTATATATATAAATTCAATCTGATTTTTTGACTTTTCAGTTTACAAATCAAGCACTAAATAATATATCGGGATAAAAATTTGCAATAATCTTTCCTTTAAGGTATGCCATCTAAAAACTGTCGAAATCGGACCATAACTATTCAAGCCCCAGATACCGGAAATGGGGACCCCAGAGCCTATGCCTGACTTTTTACCGAATATATCGGTCAATATGTGAGATATATAATTGAAATTTGGGGAAACTATTTTTTTGATTATAATAGATCAACGGGCATCTGTAGTTAAAATTTTTTAAACTGCTGAAGCTATAATAACAAAATTCATTGGAAGCAAATGTTTTTAGCACCTCTACCTACAGTGTGAAAATGGGTGAAATCGGGTGAACTTAGCCCTTCTTTACTTGTTTCTTTTTATACTCTTGCAACTTGTTGCTACAGAGTATAATAGTTTTGTTCACCTAACGGTTGTTTGTATCACCTAAAACTAATCCAGGTAGATATAGGGTTATGTATATATAAATGATCAGGCTGACGAGACGAGTTGAAATCCGGGTGACTGTCTGTCCGTCCGTCTGTGCAAGCTGTAACCTGAGTAAAAATTTAGATATCATTATGAAACACATTTTTTATTGGTACACATGTTTCTTGATACCGTAAGACGGTTGTTGTTGCAGATGGGCGTAATCGGACCACTGCCATGCCCACAAAACGCCATTAATCAAAAAATAAATAAATTGCCATAACTAAGCTCCACAACAAGATACAAGACTCTTATTTAATATACATTAGAGCAGTTTAAATTTTTTTTTAATGGGCGTGGTCTCTCACCCTAATAAGTGTAATGTGCATATCTTCTAAACCAAAAAGCTATAATAACAAAATTCACTGGGAACAAATGTTTTAGCATCTCTATCGACGGTGTGAAAGTGGGTGAAATCGGGTGACAAACCCGCCCACTATCCATATAACGGTACTGTTAAAAACTACTAAAGGCGCGGTAAATCAAGCACTAAACACGCCAGAGACATTAAATATTATCTCTGGGATGGTATAAGATGATTTTATAGGAACCCCGTTCAAAATTAGATAGTAATCGTGGCGCCGCCCACTTTTAGGTGAAAACCCATATCTTGGGATCTGCTTAACCGATTTCAACCAAGTTCGCTACATAATATTCTTCTCATATTTCTATGTTGAAGTACGAAAATGGGCAAAATCGGATTACAACTACGCCTATTTCCCATATATCATTTTAAATTTCATCTGATTATTTCACTCTCCACTATGCAAATCAAGCAACAATGATTATATCGGCGTAAAACTTTACGTGAATAATGCGTTTAAAGATCTTGTGACCAAAAATTATCTAAATGGAACCAAAACTGTTCAAGCCCCTAGGTACTGAATATGTGGACCCCAGTGCCTATAGTTAACTTTTTACCGAAAATATCGGGGAACATAGAACAAGGCGACAAGACCTACCAAGAAATTTAAAACGAGTATACCATTTGACTTTGCGAGATTATAAAATGTTTGGTTACATCCGAACTTAGCCCTTCCTTACTTGTTTATAATGATTTTATTTCACAGTTTTAATTCAATGAAAACTGTAGTTAGTAACCAAAAGTGGAGGAAATTCTATTTCAAAAAATAAATTACGCCATCTAATTTTTATTTGCAAAATTTTGTTTTCTAAAAAAATTTTTATTGCAAACCACATCTAAATAATTTTTTTTTTTTAATTTCATGTATTTAATTCGTTTTGTCTTTTTCTCTAAGCGTACTTATTATGGAGTATGACTTCACTCGCAAATTGGACAAAAATGCTTAATGTCGTCTTTTATAGACATAAGTAAAGTTCATGTAACATGTGTGTATAAATCATTTTCAAATTTTAATACCAAATTCAAACTATGGAACTACATACATAACTGAAGTCACTAATCCAATTTTAAGTGTTTTCTATGCGCCATAAATTTGAGCTTTTTACTCTGCTTATGCCATCAAAAATTATTACCAAGATTAGAAATTTTTAAACAACATTGCCAACTTCACATTCACTGCTTTAAAATTCTGTCACTTGCTAAATCTTGATTGGCATTTCTAATCACTGATTACTTTTCTTCATAACCTTCAAAATTTTGAATAAAACAAAAACAAAATCCAGATAAATACTTTATCAAACGGCATTCCCTAGCAATGAGTGATTATTTAGCGTTTTTATTTGCTAGAAATTCTATTTCTTTCCGTTTTTGGGGTTGTGTCTTGCCTAGTGTTGAGCAAGGCATTTGAAATTTACATATGTATACATATATACATATGTATACTATATATGAATTAAATTTGAATAAATATTGCAACTTTTTCGGCCGCGCCATCCACCGTTTCAAGGAACTTGCTAAAGCTCTAAATAAACCGCTATTTATTGCTAAAACAACGGTACATACATACATATATCCAAACAAGCCAAGCGCAGAAATACAAACAACAAACGATTAATACAACAATAATAACAAAGATTGCGGTAGAAGGGCTAGTGAGGTATAACACACTGGGCACCAACCCAACAGGTGCTGCACCTGTACCCCTTTACGCGCGTCATGCTTACGTACTTTCAGAAAAGAATTAATAAAAACCAAGGAAAATTTGTACGTATCGCTTTGGAGTTTTTTTTGTTTTTGTATTTGTAAGAGACGCGGAGTCCACACATGATTACAATAAAAATCCGTCCGCACGGTTTGGCAGTTCATTCATCTAGTCGAGCGTTTGGCATTGCAGTTCATTCGTTCATTTGTCATATCCATGTACATAGTTAGGTATGTATGCGTTTAGTTTGTGTAAATCTACTCGGCGCTGCGCTTGTGTGATTTTCGTTTGAGCGCTCGTGTATTTGAATTGTGACGCGCTGCGCTAAGCGCCAAGCGAATAACAGTGTAGTGTTGTAGTCATTGTAGTGTAATTTTTAGTTATTATATTAGCTCAATTAATCTATCTAGGATGTATGCGAGAGTTTATGCGGTCAAGAAACCCTCATAAATCGATGACGTATCGAATATTTATTATATTAGCTGAGGAGGCTTATATCGCTTCCACTCAATTCTCCCGGTTTACTGAAGGTATGACATAGACAAGATGATTCAACCTCAGTTTCATGAAAGCTGGTCGATCGAGGTCTCACTTTTTTTAGACAAAGTTGCGTCAATTTCCATCTAAATTTTTTGGACCTCTTGTCGTTCTAGTTGTATAGCTCTAGACCGCAAGAGAAGAACGGTGCTTCGATTCGTTTGTTGGAATGAGTGGCCTGTAGAGTAAGACCGAAGAAGTAATTGATAATAAATCCAAACACTCATTGAATAGCCTCGAGCGCACAGAGAGTGGATTCAAGGCCAGTGTTGTCATAGGATGTTAATTCGATGAGTAATATCTATCAAATGGGTTTTACTGATAAATAATACTATTCTCTGGACTGGTGACTTTTAAATTATTTATTTTTTAAATATATTGTACATTATATTCTTAATATCTAATTTTTTTTAACCTAAAGGACAGCTTTAAGTCCTGAAAACATTATACAATAGATAGAATAGTAAATAAACATCCTTCCTTGTTCAATTCAAAGTAGAACCGTAGCGTTTAGGTCATTCCGCTTCAATACATAAAAAACTCTTCGAACTTTGTTTTCGAAACTGAATTTTTTTAATTTGAGCGTGTACTCAAAAGCTACCGCAGAAATCCAATTACATATATGTATGTACTTATGTAGGAGTATGTACCTTCACAACAAACTAATAACGGGTTTTTTGATATTATTTCACAATTTTTCTATAAAAAATTTTCTGCTAAAATTTTCAGTCCAAATTTTTTTTTTACAGGTCCTTCATTTACTAGAGGTTCTTATTTAAATATGATCTTAATTTTTAGATTAATTTAGATTGAATTCCTGAAATTACCATCTCCTGTCGGGCTCATAAGGGTGATTTCGAAGGTTGTTCGAGTAGCCGCCATTTTCTATCCAAATCGCAATACTAACTGGGAGAAGAAACTTCATGCCTTTGTTCTAACGAGTTTTATCATTTGGTCTAATTGTTGCACCGTGTACGATCGCATAAACACACTCCCATTCAAAACACCCCTTATTTATTCTACCAACCTTTATATTGCCTATTTACTTAATGGTTTTTCATGTTAATGCCAACTTTTCAGCACACTGTGCGGCGCCATGACTGACGCAACAACTTTAGGCGCTGGCACCGAATATGTGGCATTTCTCAGCGCCACCTCCCTATCGCACCGCCGTTTCATCGCCATTCTTCAAGACCTCGCGCTGTTACTATAGCCGTTGACTATTTCGACTTTTGTTCATTTGCGCCGCCATCGCCATACACTACGCTCCCTTTAGCTTACCGACGTAAATACACATGCCTATCGTAGTTTACTTAATATCGCTTGTTCGGCGCTCACATGCTAATCACACATACTCGCGGCATACGCGCTCACAACCGCTTGTGAGTTACGTGCGCAAGCGATTACCGCTCATGACACCGCACCGCCGCGCCACACTTGACATGGTGTAACAAGCACCCAAGCGGTTAGGTACTTTCACGGCGACGGCAAAGACGAAAAAACCCAAACAAACAAACATGAAAATAGCACATTAAAAGCAAATCGAAAACTACAACAACGACGACGGCGAGGGCAAGGCGGTGACAGCGCTGAGGCGAGTCATATAAGTTTAATATTTATTTTTGCTGTCTTTGGCTCAGTTGTTCGGCGACATTTAAAGTGAATTAACGCTTTTCTGTGGTGTATCCACGCACGCAAAGACGCGTCAATAAGTTGCGCGCGCGTTTCGCAAGTCTTTCATAGTCTGCCTTTTTTCGAACGTCGAACGTTTCAAATACTTGTAGTATCAGCGTAGTCGCTTAGAACGTGCGCGAATTTCATGTGCAGAAATTAAAAAATGTATATTTTAAAAGTATAAATTTTTTCGAATACGATTTTGAGCGTGTCAAAAAGTGTGTATAAAACTTAAACTCTAATCACTCATGTTGAGGACGCGTAGCGCTTGGATGATTTTGTGAATGCTGCGAACGTAGCGCATACCGAAAATGCGCAGGACTACTTTTTAAGTTGTGAATATATATTTTTTAATTTTCGAAGTTATTATTTTGGTTTTGTTTTGGTACACATGCCAGTTTTGAATTGACTACAATTTTAACGGTTATAAAAATGATTATTGTGCGCTCTTAGCGTTTTTTTCGCGTTTTACAATATTTGTTTTGCTTTGTTGTTATCTGATAGTTTTATTCGCCTTGTCATTGACATTTACTCGTTGCGAATTTATTGTTCACTTGTGACCGCCCAGCGGCGCTCTGTTGTCATCTGATTAAAATGTGAGTACCGTGTGATCGACCGGCAATCGATCGCGCTGACATTCACTCAGCACGCGTATGCGGACGTTTAAACACGCTTACATATTTTTTTTTGTAATTACCATTTTACAGTGGTTCCAAGCGGTTCAACGCCAAGTGCCTGAATGAATTACTAGTTGAACTTGATTTTGTAATGTGATCAGGAGATCAGCTGACCATTGGTTTATGTGCTTGCATTGCAGTGAAAGCTGCGCGCGTCGCCAGTTTGGTAATCCGCAGTTCGTTAACTCTAAGCGGACATGTAGCATACACCGTGTTCGGAAACTGGCTTTGCTCATGTTGTCAGAGCCTTTGCATGCCTTTTGCTTCAATTTTAGTTGCGTGAATAAATTTGCTTCTGCTTGTATTGCAATTTATGATTAAAAATGTGTATTTATATATGTTTTTTTTTGCACCCGTTTATTTTTGGCATTGTTTACTCTATTTACGCGCTATAAATACCCAAAATACAAAAAAACAACGAGTTGTTGCTTTTATTGCATTTTTCTATCGCTTCACTTCTCTTGTTGTGATCTATCATTCGTGGGCAGCGCGTGACTTAAAAAATAGAGGGATAAATCTGGTATCGCAACGCTTTGCTCTTTTTGTCTCGCGCTCGCTTTACTCTTGTGCCTCGTTCCCGTCTTACCATTTTGCTTTGCCGGCTACGCGTCCCAACGGTCTTAGATCCACGTTGCTCAATCAACCGCTTTGCTAATTTCATCAATATTAAAAACAACGCTTCAATTCGAAATTCAGCGTTTGGCCATTTCGAATTACATAATAAGCAAATCAAATAATTTTTTTCACGCGCTTTGCGTTTTCTTCTTTTAACGATGTTTTATGCAAAAATTGTATTTTCTTGGTGAACTCTTGAAACGATATTGTTTCTTTTCCCTTATTTTGTGAAATTATTGTTTTATCTTTAAAGATTGCTCAAGTGATGATTGATTGTATTGGACAATTTTATAATTTGCTTGATATATTTCGACTTAACACCAAACTTAACCCACCCATATTTACTTGAATAATAATTTAATTACCTATCGGAAAAAGCCTTCGGTGTTGAATCAAACCTTGTACGTCCCTCCATATCTTGGATATCATCAGGAATCCCACCACTAGTAGAAAATTGATTAAGAAGCTAGCAAAGTTAAAATTCTATATCGGCAGGCTCAATGAGTGTGATATATAAGTCTTGGTCATACTTCCAGTTCGTCTTATAAAATGACACTTTATCTTCATTGTATCGATAATTGAATAACTTTTAATGAAACGTTCTTCTAGGTAGAGATAGAAGAGGCTTGTTAGTGTTTCTTAAAGGATTTAAAACCTAGAAGACAAACTCTTTGTTGAAAATTATCGAAAGGACATAAAAAAAAATACTATCGAAGCTACCAGATACATGCAGATTATTCCAAGGGAATTAGGGGACTATATCCACTTGCAACTCAGAAAAAAAGCGATTTTTCGTGAGTTTTTTTTTTTTGAAGAGCTATTTTTTTTATTTTTCAATAATTAATGTACATTTACAGAATTAGATGTATTGTACTTTAATTGTCGGTGATTCATTTTGGAAATTTTGGGAACCATGGATCCCGTAGCCGACCACCAGGAGGACTTGCAATAAAAAGAGTCAGGCAATGAAAAAGATTTGTCTATTTAAAATTTTCTCAAATTTAAAAACTGAAATCAAATTTTTATTACAATATATGAATACAGGTAAAGATCGAAAGACTAGTCAAAATTTGTATTTATGACAAAATGAATACCTAAAATAGAAAGTTCTTTTTGGTGAAAAATTTTCCACTGAGTGGCTTATAAAATCAAAAGAACAAATATGTTATTCCTTCGATCATTACCTGAGAAGTATATTCAAGAAGGAGATATGAAAAATTCAAGTCAATCGGTCCAGTCGTTTCAGAGAAATTTTCTTCGCCGACTCTGAAAACAGCGCTTCGAGAAAAACGCGTTTAAAGTTTTGGGAGTTGATTACACTAACTTAAAAAGTTCAACCAAATGAGACTCATACTTCGAAATTTTTTGCCAAATAAATTTCAAATTTTCGGAAAATCAAATATATGTACATATCGATATTTTGAAATTCACAAATGAATATAACCCTTTAAAGGAAGTTAAAAGTAAGAAGGAGGTAGCAACAAGATTACAAACACTATCTACATACATTTTGTTGTTGCCCTTGAGCACTAAAAATACCATAAAAACTAAGAAAACACTAATATACTACCTCAGGGATGTCGGTTAGGCTAGAGTTTGATAACACCAATATGAATTGTAAAAACAAAACACCAACTATTGACGTTACTAGCGCTTAAGAGAGCAAACAGCTGATATTTCGTCTTGACCAAGTGTGGAGACTTAAGGTCAACAAATGCTGATTTGGATGTTTTTATGTTTCAAAAAATATTTGTTGTTTATTTTCATTATAATAAAGTAAATGGTTTTTAATCGAAGTTCTAAATAGATAAATAGTAATATTGCTGTGACTGGAATCAATTAATTTTTAAAATTTACTAAATAATGGTTTATTTCAGTAGTGTGAACCAGGTAAAAGTCATCAAAAAAATAGTTTTCAGTACACACGTTCGTAAAGTGAGTCGAGGACTCTGGAAACAAGTAGGGACCGTTTCGCTCGTACTCGATTGGGACGTTTTGTGTTCTTCTTCATAACAGTTCGCTGCCTCGCAATTCGATATTCGTTATCAATTGCGCTCGGTTTCAAACGAATATTTACGATATGTTCGAAAATTTGAATTCTATTTTAAATTTTTTGTATGCAATATGTAAATATGTTACTTAAGCATGCATATTATAATAGAAATATTTCATAAAAGAGTGAATAAGGATAAAAATTAGCTAATCAAACATACTTTTGTGCACCGCGTATATGAAGCGTACAAGAATTTGAGAATGTGGTATGAAAGGGAATGCAGAAAATTGTCGGACTCAAGTAGTCGGTATCGTGTCGTTGGTGTGAACGCAATGAGCGACGTCAAAAGAAAATTTGTCGATAATGAGTGACAAAAGAGTCAAGATTTTTTTCTTAGTAACAACGAACGTATGTGCATATCTACATATTATATATGTATGTACATATGTCTAGTTATATTTAGCTCAATTTGCTAAAATATAACCTTAAATAAAAAAGCTTTTTATAAACGTTTTGTAAATAAAATTTCCACTGAAACTAGTCGCTATTACCAGTTATTCTACATTGTTCTATTAATTACCCAACATCAAATGGCAACGCAATTGAATAGTTAAATAAATAATTAATTACAACCAAAACTTAATACGTAGTAGTTTCGACTTATTTGCTTTTGTCACAAAAAAAGGTAATTGTTGAAGGCAAAATCACTCAAATATGTAAATATTTGGTTGAAATTTCATTACAAATAAATTATGTTAGTAATTTGCTTATATATGTGAGCATCTTTTTCTTTATACTCTCGCAACCTGTTGCTACAGAGTACATAGTTTTTTCACCTAACGGTTGTTTGTATCACCTAAAACTAATCGAGTTAGATATAGGGTTATGTATATATAAAAGATTAGGCTGAAGAGACGAGTTGAAATCCGGGTGACTGTCTGTCCGTTCGTCCGTCCGTGCAAGCTCTAACTTAGGCATGTTTCTTGGTACCGTCAGACGGTTGGTATTGCAGATGGGCGTAATCGGACCACTGCCACGCCCACAAAACGCCATTAATCAAAAACAAATAAATTGCCATAACTAAGCTTCGCAATAAGACTGTTATTTGGTACATAGGATCACATTAGGGAGGAGCATTTGCAGTTAAAATTGTTTTTTTAAAGTGAGCGTGGTCCCGCTCCTAATAGGTTTAATGTGCATATTTCCTAAACCGCTAATGCTATAATAACAAGCATGCACTGCAAGCAAATATTTTTAGAGCCTCTACCTACAGTGTGAAAATAGTTGAAATCGGGTGGCAACTTCGCCCACTCCCCATATAACGGTACTGTTAAAAAATACTAAAAGCGCGATAAATCAAGCACTAAACACGCCAGAGACATTAAATTTTATCTCTGGGATGGTATGAGCTGACTTTATAGGATCCGCGTTCAAAATTAGTCAGTGGGCATGGCACCGCCCACTTTTAGGAAAACCCATATCTTGGGATCCGCTAAACCGATTTCAACCAAATTCGGTGTATAACGTTCTTTTCATATTTCTAGGTTATAGCGCGAAAATGGGCGAAATCGGACTACAACCACGCCTATTTCTTATATAACACCATTTTCTATTCCATCTGATTCTTTCACTTTCCACTATGCATATCAAGCAACAATGATTATATATCGGGGTAAAACTTTGCGTGAATAATACGTTTAAAGTATGCCACCTTGTGACCAAAAATTGTCTAAATCGAACCAAAACTGTTCAAGCCCCTAAGTACTAAATATGTGGACCCCAGTGCCTATAGTTGACCTTCTACCGAAAATATCAGTCAATCCACAAAGAAATCTCAAACGAGTATACCATTTGACTTTGCGAGAGTATAAAATGTTATTATTATTTTTTTTTAATAGCCAAAATTACTTTTTTCTCATATGTATATGATAAATTTCTGCGGAAGTGATATGAATGAAGTGTGTAAACAGCAGCGATAAGACCATTGTGAATCCCCTTATAAACATAATTTTCACTTGCGGCATAGATCTAAAGGAAAAAATATAACGAAATTAATTGAATTTGGAATTTAATTAAATTTTTAGGCACACTTAGTATAGTAAGTTTTTATTGCATTGATAGCTCTGTCACCGAAACACACAGTTGTTATTCTTTTTATTGTTGATGATGAAATCAATTACCTGCAATATTAATTCATTAGAGAATCTAAAAATAGTCATATGAAACTGTTCGGAACGTCAGTGCGACAATGCTGCCAATAGGCACGTTTAAGTAGTTACCCAGTTTCCCTACATGCGCTATCTATGTTCAG